TGACAATAGCCAAAAGGATGCTGCTTCGAGTGGCGACCACTTGCCAATTGCGATTATGGTTTATGTACAGCCCGATAAAGGTCGTCAATAGGTCGCCTTCGCCACAGAAACTCAGATATGCCCCTCTCTACCTCAAGGATAACCCCAATCCTTGTTCACTAAAGTATCCTTGCAAGGAGCAAGTTTTCCTACTTCGCTATCTGTTACAGTTGGAACTTTTGCTGACCATTCGAGCGCCTTCAATGGCTCAATTATTTGTCCCCATCTTCGCTTTTTCTCCAACTGAGTTGGGTTGGTTCTCGTTGCTATAAGGATAATTTCTGGTGGCGTCAGTCAAGCGCTCACCCATAGACATAAATATTTAAGGACACACACTAGATTTGAGCCCGGCTTTCGAGTGTTATTAGCGTAATTGAGTTTGCTAGTCAATTATGCATGCAATGAGCCAGAAACGGCAACGTTCACAGCCCAAAAACCAAACCCAAATTTAAAGACTGTCCTTGAATTGGCATTTTCATCGGAATTGTGTAGGGTTGCAGGACCTCAGCGCGCCGTCTGTGCAACAGTTCTTGAAAATTGCATTTTCTTAATTTATTTGCTATGCTAATTTATTTATTGACTGACCACGGCCACCGCCAACACACAGCATAATATCATTTGGCACAGACGATATGTCCTGAAAAACACACAGACAAATGCATTTATACAGTAGAAGTCGAAATAATGTAGCAAAAATTTGTTCAAGTCTTAAATAAAATTTATAAAAACATATACAAATTTTAAGGATAATCTTCATTTCATCTTCATTTGCAAACTTATTATAATTATATCATTTATGACAGTTAATTTGAAGCCTTTAATCTTTTAAGACAACTAACAACAAATTTACTTTTTTAACATTTTGAAAAACAAAGGCAAAAATCGAATGCTACTATTTTCACCGCAACTGTATGTGCATACACAATTGCATTTCGCACACAGTTCATGAAGGGAAATCCGGAAAATGGAGCAGGGAGTGTGGTTTCATTGAGCCAGCAGGAATTTTGATTTTTGGGGGAGGATGGCCAAATCCTTGAATTAATTTGGTTCTCGGCATCAGAAACACACCTGAGTTTCATTCAGGGTGCAAAGTTGATAATCAAAATATGTAAGTTTGGGGGTTACGAATTTAAGCTCAAGACAAAAGTTAGTTCTAAATTGATTAACAATTAGATTTAAACTTAAAAAATTGTTTTTTTCTTGAAATGGCTTTAAAGAAATGATATGTTCATACAAATATCTCCGATATCGATTAAATAAAAGCTTTACAATAGTCCTATTTTCTTTTTAAAAAAATCTTCAAATTTGTAAACCATTAAAAATAAACCACACATATATCAACTTTCTGGGGCCTTTAAATTATTACACAATCCTGATAACACATTTATGGCGTGTCGTCTTTCCTATCTTTACATCTATATCACACACTTAAAACTTAAGCCAAAAAAAACCCAATAACGACAGCCAAACCTAAAAAAGAAACAATAAAAACGAATGTAAAACGCAAAAAGTAACCACCAAAAGGGAAACAACAAAATCGACAAAAATGTTTGCCCTTCGAGAAGACAATGCAAGTTAAATTACGTCACGCAAGCGAATTTCTCCCACTCAGTTTTGTACCCCCAAAAAGTGGCAAAAAATTTACTGTGAGAATTTTCGGGTGCCAACTAACACAGACACAGGCACACACACATACAGAAACAGGATGCCCCTGTAGATATGCAACGCTCAATTTGCGATTGCCAACCACAATGCCAACCGAAATTGCCATCTTAATTTATGTGCTGCGCTAATTAGCACCATAATTTAATTTCCAATTGGCAAACGCAAGACCAACGAAAAAAAATGTGTGCGTGAGTGGGGAAAAACGGGGAAGGGGGTTTTGGGGGAAAATGAGAACTGGGCTAACAATGCAATGCCTGTTGCTGCCAATCACATATGTATGCTGCTTTTAAGCTGGCATTTTCCGGGTAAAATAAGTTCATTTTCCCTTTTTATATACCCTTTTTCAGAGTTATTATAGATTTTCCAAGTAACTAAAAGTTTAATATTTCTTATAATTCTTAGAAATGAAAAAAATAACACAACTTAAGCAACAACAAATGTAGGCCTTTTTAATGCTGTAAGTTTTTAATTTTTTTAATTTCGAATTGACAAAGCAGGACTATAAAATTATTATATAAAATTGATATTTATATTTTGTAAGGGTATTCAGTATGTTAGTTCTCAAAAAAACAGAATTTCTGTACTCCACTTTCCTTTTTATTTTCCTATCCCCTGCGCACTGCATGCGAAATACTGACGAAAAAGCCGCTGTTGCCAAAATAAAATCGAATTAAATGCAGAGCGCATATGTTGGCACCCCCATGGACCCCCTTCATTGAACATACACACTTTACCCCCATCGCACCCCCACTTGCACACACACACACACACAATCCCCCTAACAAATGATGTTGACCGCCCATGGTCATGGATGCTAATTAATCTTGATTTTCAACCCAAGCAAAGCCTGAAAGAAGGAGGAACTGTGAGTGTCCTTACGTCAAAGTGACAATTAAATTAATCACGATGGCAAACGATTATGTCAACAGGACACAGTGACACACACATGGCATTTGAAATACACGTTCTAGAGGAACCCCGCCAGGAGACCAGGAAAAAAAGGATGTGGAGAAGTATTCATGTCTCGGGCGCTGCAAAATCTAATTACACCCGGGCATCAAACTTATAATTAACATTTTGACCGCAACACAAAAATTCCAATGTGCAAAAGAAGCGAGAAAAACGACAAAAGCAGTCTCTTTAGTTTAATTTGCTAGACATTTTTAATTAGTTTTGCGGTTGACACATAAACTGCAGCTTTAACTTCAAATCCAATTTAAAGAAAATTGTATTTACAATAATGACCTAAATGGTCAGATTTAGGTTGATTTTAACCATAAAGCTAATGAATAGCTAATGTTAATTTATAATTTTTAGTCATTTTAATAACTTTTCCAATTCCGCGTCTTTATAAAAAAGTTTGAGGCTCGTCTTTACTTGTCAAAATTGAATGTATTGAAATTGTTTTCCAAAAAAATGACAATATTTCTTACCGTTCTGATGATTTTGCTATTCCTTTGGTTGTAAATGTACAAACATAATAAAATATATTTTCAAACTGTGCGCGCTTTTAGACAGGGCTACCGAAAAACGATTACAACGCAAACAGCGTGGCAACGCTGCAAGAAAATAATCGATCATCGCCAACAACCCCGACTAAATCATATCGATAGTGTCATCGTTTATTGGCCATCCCTATTCGCACGAGGTGCCGAACAAAACGTACAAATTTCTGATAATTTATTAAATAAAACAGACGGAAACTATTGAAAATGACGGAAACTGAGGAAATTAACGGTAGAGAAGAGGTGGAGGATGATGAACAGGATCAGAAACAGAAGAAATCCGATGTAAAACGGCATGACGACGGCGCCGCAGGTAAATATTTAACATACCCCCCACCCACCTCTAAAAAAAATTGCAAAAAAGAGTCATCTATCAACGAATTATTATGAATTAGAGTGTCACCTATTTTTGGCGGTCAATAGTTGGTTATTTTTTAAAAGAATTTTAAATGTGCTTTCCGTAATTTTCCTTTTAATTTAAAAATATCTGCATATCATTTCATTTATATATCTGCACAAATTTCTAATTTACTTTGGTTGACCTAAAGATTGTTATTAGGACATTAAATCATTTAAGTTAAGTTAAATGAACAAAATACAAGAATTATATATTTTTTCTAGATTTGGAACGTGTTACGGACTATGCCGAAGAAAAAGAGATATCCGCGGCCAATATATCCAGTGTAAGTAGTTTCCCTATACAGCAGATAATCCAATAATTAACAGATATAATTTTCATATAAAAAAACAGGCCGTGGAACAATTTGGCAACCAGCGAAACAAGGAGAACGAACTGCGAGTGGCCAAGGAAAAGGAGCTCCAAAAGGTCCAAGTCAAGAAGGAGGATATTGAACTGATTGTACGTACCCAAAACTTAAGCATTGTTTTGATTGATCCAGGCAGCTAGATTTTTATTAAAATGTATTCCATCTACATTGGCAATAGTACGCTTCCATTTGGTAGTTCTTGTAGTACTTTTTAGATTATTATTTTATGCTATTATAGACCTTTAAATTAGATAGCTTCTTCTCATTTTTAAGATAACAACCTTCATTAATTTATAGAGTTAATATACAATGCAGCCAAAAAATCAATCGCTTTTGCGACACCCATACTTATGTTTCCAATATTCTCCCGTTTCAGATGAACGAGCTGCTGGTTAGCAAGGCGCAGGCCGAAAAAGTCCTCCGCGAACAGAGCGGCGATGTGGTAGCCGCCTTGGAAGCCATCATCAGCAACTGAGAGGCTTGGGGAACCTGCACTAGCCGCCGTCTGTTTCTTTTATGTAGCGTAACACTGCTTTATTTGTACATTTATAAACTCTAGCGAAGGAAAACAAACAAACTTTTAAGCCCACAAGAGAACAAGTCTTTTCCTCGAAAAAGGATTTTATTTTGGTGTAATAATAACTTGCAATTTTATTCAGAGTATCGCCACTGCCCATGCACTCGTGTCCTTAAGAAAAACCGTTGACAATTTGACTATTATTATGTGATCTTGCGTATCCAAGTATAATTTATGTTTATAGTTATCCGATATCTAAATGAAAAAACAATAGTCCTTCGTCTCAGCCTCCCACTTATACTCGTATATATGACTTTTTGGCAGTTGCGTTTGCTTCGCTCTCACATATTGCCGATTGCTCTATAGAATTAATATTGTGGATCGATCGATCGATCCTGCTACCATACGATGTTAGGGAAAACCTGACGTCTCATAGCAGTTCTATGCGTTTCATTCCGATTCGTTTTGGGTGGGGGAGAGAGGGAGGTAGTTGAATAGACATATAAATTATGAAACAAAACAGACAATGAAATTCATTTATAACAACTAAAGCAAATTAGGTAGACTACAACCCAGTTAAGGTTTAAAATGGGGGGTTGGGGAAGTATGGTTTCGTGTAGCAGCATTAACTAAATTATGTGATTAAATACTTTTGCAGATTCTCGCACGACGGCGTGTTGATGTTCTGCGCCTTTCTGTACAGGTCCCGATCGCCAAAGGTACGCGCCTTGGCCAGCATGGAGTCGCCTTAAAAAGCACTTCATTAATACATGCTACAAAGGTTTTACTTGCTGAGCTTACGATAATTACGCTCTCGACTGCAAGAGTGTTTTAGATGATTGACAAAGTCCTCTTCCACGGATTCCTCTAATCGGGCCACCGATCCCTGATACTCTGAATAGAAGTTATCCTTCACATAGTAGGGTATTTTCAGAGCGTTCGTCTCGCGCTTCACAGAATATTTACTGGTGGTTAAAAAAGAAAACTAAATTAGTTTTGAACTTTCGGGAGGGTTTTGGGGTTTAGTTACTGGGAGGGCGTCAGACTGTACATGGGATCTGAGATAAAGAACGACGACATCATTGAGAGACCAATCAGCAGCAAGATGGGTAACAAGTTGATCAAAGCTGAAGAATTGTTTCCCTAGAAAACAAAGAGAAAATGTCATAAGACAAAAGATTTTTTATACATTTCGGCTATTTATCATAATTTAAATTGAGAAGTTTGAGTTCCTTATGATTTTGTCCTTACATCGCGTTCCTCACGAGCCTGATGACGACGTCGCTGCTGCCGCATGAATACATTCTGTTGTGGGATTCCTCCGCTGAAGAACATGTTGAACAGCTCCTCGGCACTGATATCAGGCGGGAATTGTTGTTCGTAAGATTGGCCATGTCTATGGTGACCGCCTCCATGATTTCCGTGACCATTGTGCGACTCATTGCTGCCATACAAGTCGTAGTTTTTGCGCTTCTCGGCATCCGTGAGCACACCTGCAGCATTGCCCAGAGCTTTAAATGCTTCCACCGATCCGGGGGCCTTGTTCTTGTCCGGATGCAATTGCAGAGCTAGCTTCTTGTACGCCTTCTTGATCTCCGAATCCGTTGCCGTTTTGCTGACGCCCAAAACATCGTAGTAGTCCTTACATCTATTAGGTAGTAGGTAAAATATGGTAAAGGTTAATTTCGAAACAGAACAGCTAATTTTTTTACAGTACTTAACATTTATATATTAAAATGTTTGTATTTATAAAAGACACATTTTTGAAAGAAAATTTTATTATAATAAATCAGTGTATTCTACGCACCTTTTGATCTTTCGCACCGCCTCCAATTGATCATTGGTGTAATCTGGGGCATTGGACCGCGAATCGGAGTTCACACGCTTTCTAGGGCCGCTGTCCTTCTCATCGCTTGCAGCCGCTGATCGGGATTTGCCATTGCTGCCGCTGCCCGAGGTGCTCTTCACCTGGGCCAGTAGCTCTACAAGATTGGATAATCACACGTCAGTAGGTCAAGGGTAATTTTTTATTTTATGCTATTTCAGAGGGCAAAGATATTTGAAATGTCTAATAATATGATATTATTCGGTTTAGTTTTCGATGGACTACAATTTCTAAATGGTTTTTTTAAATGGTTAAAGAAAAGAGTTTTATAAAAATATGGTGATAATTAAATCCATCCTGACTGGATACTTAAATACTTAATATGGTATTAATTATTGTATAACATTATTTAATCAAGGTTGGCATACTATATTTTAGAGGTAACAGAGCAATAAAATAGTTTTGACTCGTTTAATACGCACTTATAAAGGTATACCACGTTTGATTACCATCAGACCACCGTTTTTCATACCGTGCAAAAACACATGTATCTTTGTTGTTTTTATAGATAAGAACGAATGTGGAAGATTACCGGTTACAGAAAGGGTGGCCAAGAAAGTATGAAGGTTGACTTGGTCATGGAAATTTTATGGGGTACAAAGATCCCTGTCCCGTTATCCTTACTCTTTGCATTCTCTGTGGGGAACAACTTTTCCGCCTTAAGCAGGAACTTCTCAGCCTTCTCGATCTTGCCCTCGGCGAGTGCCTGGACCGCGAAATCGATGCAACGCTGCGCCTCGTCCTTGTTGCCGTCCATGTCGCCTTTTAGCCGTAATCACTGATTATCCCTAGTTTTAACTAGTTACTACGTGGTGATCAAAGTAAATAGTCGGGCTCCGCTCTCTTTCCCTGTGTGCGTGAGCCTCGTCTTTGTGTGACGTTTACGGACTACGCACGAACACACACGTACGCCTGCTGGGTTCCGGATTTTTGCACTCGTAACTCCTTGTATAACTACTCTATTTTGTATGCCGTGCAGCCGCACTTTCACTGAGAATTTGATTTTACTGCAATTCTTATTTAATTGATTTTATCTGGACAACTTTTTCATCAGCCGAGAAAAACAAGAGAGTTGCCACCCAGTTGCGGGAAAAACACGAACAGAGCTGCACCGGACTGCAGGGCGACACCGAAAATAGCTAGTTCTAGCTAGTAAATATTGATATGCTTATTAAATGAACTTCTCTAAGGTAAACAAATCTAATTATGGAACTTAAAATAAAAAGCAATTAAAATTAATAACAGGCTACCAAAACTTTAGTTTTAATATGGCCTACGTCGAATGATCTGAAAATAGGTCATTTAAAAATAGCTATTGAATGTTTGGCGGAGAATAGCCGAATCCGCCAAATGGCCAGCCAGAGTTGCATTGTCGCGGCGTTGCCGGATCGCTGGCGACAAACATATGTATGCGTCGGTGTGGGAGTAAGCGTGGGAGTGTGTGCCGCAGCATGGGAAGCGAGTGATTCGCTGATTTGCCAAATTCGTCGTATTTATTTGGAAATTTGCAAAGTAATAGCAAAGAATCGTCGCTAAACAAGTGCAGTCGAATTAGCCGCGAAAAGTGCATTAATTGCGGCCTTCGTCATCGCCGCGTGTGCGACAGTGTGCGTGTCCCCAGTGCGTGCGGGAGTGTGTGTGTGGCGCAGTTCACACAACTTGGCCTGGAAAAAGTGAAAGAGTATTTTTTCGGCCATATTGTGTTGTCATAGCTGGAAAAAGTGCATTTCCCGGTCATATGGAGATTCTGGGCACCTGCGAAAGTGCAGTCGATCAGCCAAAGTTTACACAATACCCCGTAAATGTCGAGTAAATAGCGCGACTTATGTAAAGCAGAGAACAAAAAATTATTTACATTTACAAAGGTGCGTACGAGACTGTGTGCGTGTGTGTTTGTGTGTGTGCCTGCGTGTGAGGGAGAAGTGCATCCAATTGAAATGTTTGTCGATATTTTCTTTTTTACAAATTGCAGTTTATTTTCTAGGTTTTATAGGGTTCTAATCTAAGTTTAGTGGCTACTTCTTGAGGGAAAGACGAACGGGAACACCTTCCTTGGGCATCAGCGGTACTCCATTAATTCCAAATTCAATCTCACGCTTTTCCTTTCTGATCTCCAGATCAAAATTCGACAAAACCTTGGCAATCGCTATCTTTACATTCACCTTTCCCATGCGGGCACCTGGAAAATAAAGTATTATTTTAATTTTCAGTTCAATTTCTTTAGGTTTCGACCATTATACGACAACTGGATTATCAAATATGCAATACCACTCGGTTGCTAAACTAAGTTGACACCGAACTTAACAGAGATTACAGATCCGATTCTACCCAAAGTTATCAGTTTAACGCTTACCGATGCACATCCTGGGTCCCTCCCCAAAAGGCATATATGCCGCCTGGTTAAAGTTTTTGTTATCTTCTAGATAACGTTCTGGCTGATAGCTAAGTGGATCGGGGAAGTACTCGGCATCCCGGTGCATTCCAATTAGGGAGATTATAACTGGTGTGCCCTTTTTGATTACTAGCTTGCTATCGGGCACAGGATAATCCTGGGTGCAGACTCTGTTCAACAGTGGAAGAGCTGGGTATTTGCGAGCGGTTTCTGTAAGAATATTTAAATAGTTAGTTGAATCGAAAATAATAAATAGGAAATTTAGTTAAATTTGAATTCCATCCCTTCTCTCAAACTGAAGGTGATAATTGGAACAGAACCTACCCAGTACACAAGCCTCCAGGTATTTCATGTCCGAAATGGCATCGTAGGTTAGTTTCCCGCCGTGCTTTTCGAGGGCATTGCGTACATCCTCCTTCGCCTTTTCCATCACCTCCGGATTTTGGGTGAGCTCGTAGAGAGTGAAGGATGTCGTGGATGCCGTTGTCTCATAGCCCGCTATGTAAAACAGAAATAGCTGCCCGGCAATCAAATCTTTCGACATGGATTTCACTCCATTTTTTGTACTCTCCGCTGTCCAAACTGAATCATCAGTACTGATCTTTCCCTGATTGCGCAACTGCAGGAGAAGTTGTAGCAAATCCTTTCGCACAATATTGTTCTGCTCCCTGAGATCGACTGTTCGGTTTGACAACTCGCGCATCCTTTCTGTGGCCTCCTGTTTCCAGCCGATTCGCACAAAGAACTTTTCCAGGCTAAGACAAAAGACAAAACATATAGTTTATGAATTTATTTATTTATTTTAATTTCTTTGAGTCTTACCCGGGATAAAGGAAACTAGATGCTCCACGAACAATATCTTCAAAGTTTCTACGATTGACTTTTCTGCTAATAACCTGAAATTCATTGTTTGGATCTGCAAAGCTGTCAATATCAAGGCCAAAAATAGTCGTTGCAATAATATCGATGGCATAGCTAAGGAAAAAATATAAAGTGCTTGTTAGTTATCTATCAGATAAGGCAAATCAGTTGTGAAATACCACATTAAAAAAATATTCTTTCCCTGCAATTACAATTAGGGAGGGTCATAAATTAGTATTTTTGACGTTTTTTAATTAAATATCACTTAATGAAAGGAAAAACTCGGGTTGGGAATAGATTTCTGCCAAAAAAAAACTTTTCAAATAAGCAGAATTTTATAAAAACTGGAAAATCTTATCTATTTACTATTAAGTATGCAATCAAGCGTAAGCCTATCTTTTAATTAAGTATGCTGAACAGCTTTAATATATACAAGTAGCAAATAGAAAAGTAAATCAACTCAATGTTATGTTTGCTATGTTATTCAATATAAATATGCCAAGCTTATTACGTATTACCCAACCCTTTAACTTACGTTGCCATTAGTTTCTTAAGTTCCAACTCCTTGCTGCCCGATTGAGGCAATTGTGCCTTCATACTGGCTATCAATTTATCTCCGACAGAATCGGAGGTCTCGAACATGGCCTTTAGTTTTCCGGACGTAAAAGAAGGCGTAAGCTTGTTACGCAGTGCCTTCCAGCTTGCTCCTTCCATTTGAAACAAACTCGCGGACATGGGATCGTTCTCCTCATCCACATAAACACCACGATCGTGAAAGCTGGCGAAGTCCTTGACCAACATATCGTGAGCCAATTGAGCATCTCTAATCAGGAGAGCTGGTCTCAAAGTAAGATATATTCCGACAACAGGTTCCTTGGTCGATTGGTACAAATCGTAAATGGCCATTCCGAAGGATCGCTTTCCCTGTGTCACGGATTTCAGGCCACCGAAAGGGATGCTCACTCCGGTGGAGGGAAAACCCTTGCGATCCCAGTAGCTGAATGTCCACTTGAGGTAGACATAGAGCAGTGTGACTGCACCGATCAGTAAATATATTCCAATCATTTGATTGTATTTTGTTTACTATCTGTCCGCACTTCTCGCGTTCTAAATCGAAACTAACTGGTCGGAGGCGACTGCCGATTTATAGTCGTTAAGGGGCTCTCCCAATCGCCTCGTGTGCTAGACAATTCCGCCATATGGCCGAGCTATTACCTTATCTTTCGGCACGGACGTAAACAAAGCCACTTCAGGCAAGTGGTTCTTTTAGGGGTAGGTTCGGTCAGCCTATTAATTTACCTAGAAGATCCTCCCATATAGATTTGTGCCTTGTCAGTGTGACACGGTCATTTATAAATGCCTTCTTGGTATGATACGGTGACTTAGAAGTTCTGTGAAGGCAACTAAAACATTCTGACGAAGCATTATTTTATTTGCGGGAACTGTCATTCATTTATAGAACCCTGCTTTTAAAAGAAAATATACTGGTTTTATAAAAATATGGTTTATAAATAACCTTTATTTATAACGAAACCTTGAATAAATTTAAAGTTTTTTGAATGTCGTAAATACGGACCTAACAAGTTTCTATATGTCACTGAGCTTGATTAAAAAGGGTCTAGGTTTATACCCTTGCAGAGGGTATTATAATTTCAGTCAAAAATTTGCAACGCAGTGATCAAGTCGTTTCCGATCATATAAAGTGTAATAAAATATATTTATACCCGTTACTCGTAGAGTAAAAGGGTATATTGTATTCGTGCAAAAGTATGTAACAGGTAAAAGGAAGCGTTTCCGACCCTATAAAGTATATATGTTCTTGTTCAGGATCACTAGCCGAGTCGATCTAGCCATGTCCGTCTGTCTGTCCGTCCGTATGAACGCTGAGATCTCGGAAACTATAAAAGCTAGAAGATTGGCATTTTGCATGCAGATTCTAGGAGTTCCTACGCAGCGCAAGTTTGTTTCAAAAAGGTGCCACGCCCCCTCTAACGCCCACAATCGCTTATATACGATTTTAAAAATTTAAATATTTCGGAAAAGTAAAAATGCAGTTTTATTGTGTTTATCAATACCTATCGAAATGTAGAAGAAATTTTTCAAATCGGACCATTCGTTAAAAAGTTATGCGTGATCAAAGTTTCTATCTCCATCTCCCTCGCACTCCCTTTACCTAAGTAATGGGTATCTGATAGTCGGGGCACCCGACTATAGCGTTCTCTCTTGTTATTTTGTATAATCGTACAAATACATAATCAGACGACTATTTAATATAGCTTTCATTGAAAAGATCGGAAGATAACAAGAAAATCGACATAGCTAAGTTGTTTTTCCACATATTCGCTTATAGTCGTCTCTAAATATATGGTAATTTTATTTTAATTATTTATTTCTTTAATTTTACAGGTCGTAATATGTAGCATCCCAGACCAAGCACAGGTAGTTCTTTCGCTCTTTATTGACCTTGCCTTTAAAACCATTTTTTATTTTTAGACTCTTGGTTGGAAAATTGAGTATATGTCGATAGATATTAAACAAACAAATATATACCGGCCAAAAACTTGTTTTAACTGCTACCACTGGCGTATGTGCCTTAACACCCTTGTCAGAATATTTAATACAAGTAAACTTAATAGTTTTGTGTTACAGAAAATTCTATTAATATCCGTTATGATAATAATGATATATAAAATGAAAGTAGACTTGTAGTCTACTTTTTGAGGGAGAATTGTATAGGAACACCATCCTTGGGCATCAGGGATACTCCATGAATTCCAAATTCAATCTCACGCTTTTCCTTTCTGATCTCCAGATCGAAATTTGACAAGACCTTGGCAATCGCTATCTTCACATTAACCTTTCCCATGCGGGCACCTGGAAAATAAAATAAAATTTTAATTTTCAGTTAAAATTCTACAATTTTAAAGCTATTAAGTAAAATTGGAACAAAGAAAAATTATACGAGAATTTAGATTTGGTAAATTGGGATATTACTGGATTATTAGGAAAAACAAATATATGCAACTCAGTTGCTGAACTACGTTGACATTAAAACATTATAAAATATAAATAATAATGGGGTCAGCCCAGGAGATTATTATCCCTTTATATTTTTCCCTTAAATATTTTGAATTGGGATTGGTTCTTACCGATGCACATTCTAGGACCCTCGCCAAAAGACAAATAAGCAGCTTGGTTGTAGTTTTTGCCATCTTCCAGATAACGTTCTGGCTGATAGCTGAGCGGATCAGGGAAGTTCTCTTCATCCAGATGCAGTCCCAACAGGGAGATTATAATTTGAGTTCCCTTCTGGATTACCAACTTGCTATCGGGTACAGGATAATCCTGGGTGCAGATTCTGTTCAGCAGTGGAAGGGCGGGGTATTTCCGAGTGGTTTCTGCAAGAAAATTTAAATTGTTAGTTTGTTTCAATTTATAATTTTCATTAAACTTTATACTAAAACTAATTTTTTAAACCTACCCAAGATACAGGCCTCCAGGTACTTCATGTCCGCAACGGCATCGTAGTTTAGTTTTCCCCCGTTCTTTTCGATGGCACGGCGTACATCCTCCTTCGCCTTTTCCATCAACTCAGGATTTTGTGTAAGCTCGTAGAGAGTGAAGGATATTGTAGATGCCGTCGTCTCAAAACCGGCTGCATAGAAAAGAAAGAGCTGCCCGGCAATCAAATCTTTGGACATGGATTTTACTCCATTTTTAGTACTCTCCGCGGTCCAAACGGAGTCGTCAGTACTGATCTTTCCCTGATTGCGCAATTGTAGGAGGAGTTGCAGTAAATCCTTTCGCACTATATTGTTTTTTTCCCTTAGATCGACAGTGCGATTGGATAATTCACGCATTCGTTCGACTGACTCCTGTTTCCAACCAATTTTGACAAAGAATTTCTCCAGGCTGTATGGTTTTAAACATTAGTTTTTAGGTTTTAAAAAGTATTTTTAATTTTTTTACCCAGGGAAAAGGAATAACGATGCTCCACGAACAATATCCTCAATAGTGTTTTGATTGATTTTCTTGCTAATGGTCAAGAACTCATTGTTAGGATCTGCAAAGCTATCGACATCAAGGCCAAAAATAGTCGAGCCAATAATATCAATAGCATAACTGGGAAGAAATACAAAATGGAGCTCGTTAGTTATATTACCGATAAGGTCAATAATCATTATAAGAGGACTTAGCAAAATAAACACTTAAGAATAATATTATATAATGTACGTAAATTGGTTCTGCTATAAAGGAATGTTTTATCATTTTGACTTTAATATTTTTTGTAGTAGAGAACCTTTTAACTTACGTTGATGCTAAGCTTTTGATATCCAGCTCCTTGATACCTGTCTGGGGTACTTGTGCCCTTATGCTGGCTATTAATTTGTCTCCAACGGAATTGGAGGTCTCGAACATGGCCTTTAGTTTTCCGGAGGTAAAAGAGGGGGTTAATTTTGTGCGTAGGGCCTTCCAACTAGCCCCTTCCATGGCAAACAAACTTGCGGACATTGGATCGTTCTTCTCATCCACATAAACACCACGATCGTGAAAACTGGCGAAATCCTTGACCAACACATCGTGAGCCAATTGAGCATCTCTGATTAGAAGCGCAGGTCTCACAGTGAGATATAATCCCACTACCGGTTCCTTGGTCGTTTTGTACAAATCGTGAATGGCCAATCCGAAGGATCGTTTTCCCTTCGTCACGGCTTCCAGGGCACCGAAAGGAATGCTTCTGCCAATGGATGGGAAACCTTTGCGATCCCAGTAGCTGAATGTCCACTTGAGGTAGACATAGAGCAACGTGATCGCACCGATCAATAGAACTATTCCAATCATATCGATATATTTTCTTTTTCCACACTTCTCGTGTGGCAAACCGAAACTAACTGGTCGGGTCCGAGCTAATTTATAGTCGCTAGAGGGTTTTTCCTCCGCGTTGATTAATCAATTTCGCCATTTGACCATAGTATTACATACCTTATCTTTGGGACCAAACAAAGCCACTTGAAACGAGCGATTTCAGGAGAGGTAGGTTCGGACTGTTTGCCGGAATAGGGCAATAGTGCCTTCTCATAGTGACAAGGCGATTGTAAAGCTTTCTGTGTTCGTATAAAAGTTGCCGACTAAGCATTATAATATTTGCAGGTTATATTTGGTTCGGTTTCCTAGACAACAATACGGTGATACGGCAAATAGCAAATTGATAATGACAGAAAACCTGCATTTACAAGTTTATATTTTAACTCATTTTTAGGTGGAAGAAACAAAGAGCATATAAATTATAATAAAAGTTTTATTTTTAATCAGATTAATTTTGTGCCTTTATAAAAAATTCACATTTCTCTTATTAAAATTAATCTAAATGTAGTATTTAAAAACGTATTCAATTAGTATAATCACAACTCATAAATTTGGGTTAATCAAATATTTAATGAACCAGAAGAACTGGTTTGCTTATCAAAAACTGCCGCAAACTGATAAAGTTCTTGTGTGGGCCAAAGCGAACTGACCTAGGCCCAGGGGCTATCCCCATATTCTGAAGAACTTGTGACTTGCAATATCCTACTTATAACCGAACTCTCTCCGCCCCAAAACTTTCCGCTTGCCTGTTTTGACCCGCTTTGTTGACTTTGACGTTTATGGAAGCGCTCCCCGATGTTCAGGTTGTTCACTGGAGAACTTTGTGCTGTCAAAGTAATTTGTTGTTGCTGCCGCTTCACTTTATTTTTGTTGTTTTTGTGCAGCGAGTGGCAACGACTTTGGTTAAGTACATAAGCAACCCAGCACAAAGGCAACAACAATAATATAAAGACAACAGCAGCGTGCGGCATACAAAGTCAAAGACGTTGAACCGATTCGTGTATTTCTGTTTTAATATGGGGTTTTTGTTTTTAAAATTCTTCGGGTGTATGCAAATAATTTTGTAAATACAAATAACAGCTGCGGTCAAAATTATAACTGAAAAAAATTTAAACAAGTAAAAATAAAACATGTACCATATTTAAAAGATATTTTACGTTATTTAACGAGTTGTGAAAGAAAATTCAAATTGAAAATTACAACAAAAAGTTAAAAACTTTGTGTTCCCAATGGCTACATGACATTTTTATGGTATTGTGATTGTTTTATAACTATTACAGTTACTCGAACATTTGCTTCTACAATTTTGATCGCTACTGTTACATACCAATCAAAACCAGATGAAAACGAGTTTGGTTTATTTGCAAAAAATATTTATTAGCATCATTAAATTAATTAATATAATTGTCAACATTAATGAATTTCTTGCCTCTCTTGCAGACATCTTAACTTGTTTGGCAGCGGCTTGTAAATTGCAGGAAGGAACAGCAGTAATAACATAAACAAGGTGAGTTTCTCTGTAAGATATCTGCAATTAAGTCGGGATTACAATTGAACAGAGCCTGGGCCAATTATTAAACCATTAATTCTTGGGGATTAGCTCTATCGCCCTCTCTATCTGATAAGCTGCTCTCTTGCTCTCCCCGCAAATAGCCTTGATAAGGGCCTTGAGAGTCAACAGCCACCACCACCAAACATCCAGAACAGAGCTTTTGACTTGGTTCTACAGTGTTGATAACTTGGCTTTTTGTTAGCTAGATTTGGGTATTTAGAATGTTCGAAAATTGCAAGTCTTTAAAGTTGAACATTACCTATGTACACTAAAATTTCCCATAATATACATTATATTAATTCCTAAGAAAATGAATTTTATTCATTAAAAAATTTTAATTTGTAGTTATCTCACATCAATTGTTTCTGATTGGATTTGAGTGACACATAATTCTGATTTGAAATCACTTTTTAAATGTCTAGAAGTATGCAATGAATTTTTTTTTCATATGAATAATATAGAGGAAAATATTTCTCAGCACAGTTTTCGTAATCGAAAATTGATTATTTTTTTTTATCTGAGATTGAGTATTTTGTTTAGTATTAACCATGGAATACAATAAACATATATTTAAAAGTAATAGCTTATTAATGTGTCTTAACTATTGCTTATGTTTGAAGTATTTTATCTTCTTTTTGAGAAATAAAAATCTATAGTTTGTCTTCGCTCTCAAAAAATGCTGGTTTCCAAAGCTCTGGCTTGCTCTCTTGGCCAATATAAAGCTTTCTGTCGGCAAAAGCAAAACAAACACACAAGCTGAAGCAAAACAAAAAAATATATATTAAGAAAAAAGCTCTTCAGTCGTCAGCTGCTGCGCGTAGCGAGTAGTAGTTTGTGTGTGATTTTCACGGAAAAAATTCACATCGTGTGTGTTGCTAACCGATTTTCCCATTTAACACCCACAATTCGCAACGGTAAATGCTAAAAGCGTATCCAAAGTGTGTCTAGAATTTTTTTAGTTAACGAAAAAACGCAGTTATCTAAATATCGAGCAGTTTTAAACGAGTGACCTTAATATAAAAGCCGAAAACTAAAATATTTTCTTATAGTCTTTGGAGTTCAAAAACACGCGCAATTAAACACACAAAGTGAATGACAAAATAGCTTTGGCAGAAACAAAAACGACGACAACATGCCTTAACAACTTCCTCAATCTAACGCCCTTCGAAATGTTTTAGGCTATATACACAGCTATATGGAAATAAACCCAACCTCCAGCTTGACACTCGAGAATAAAGCGAGAAAAGAAGCTGAAAGCAAGACAACTTTTTCTATATCTTTGGGTAGAGTCGGCTTTTTAATACCCGGCAATGGTCTCTCGCTCTCTCTTTCTCTCTATCACGCCCCCTCTCATTCCTATCCCGTATAGCCCACTCTCTCTTTCTTTTTCTGTGTGTGACGCAAATCACAAGTTTATAATGCGGAATTCGAGTTTGATTAAATTTATATTAATTAGTATTTGTTTAACAAACAAGCTTTGCAAGCAGGGTTGCCAGATGGAGAGGAAAAGTATAAAAAAATAACCGAAATAGCATTGAAATTTTCAAAAGCGTAGAAAGAGAAGGCTAGCTTCAGTGTGTTACACATGTTTCGACTTGCAAAAAGCTTTTTTCAGGCAGTTCAATTAAAAACATGTGCTGCCCCTTGTCCAATATTTTTGTTTATTGTTTATAAATGAGAGAACTTTGTTCGCCCTCTCGTCCCCTATTCCCCTTGTTTTTAGCTATCTCGCTTGCTCTTGTTATAAATAAGCAGCTGAGGTCAGCGAGCAAACGCCGGCGCAGCTTTTTCTGTGTTTGCAAAGACAATTGTAGCTTTTTCACTTGCGCAGGTTGAGAGCTTTTTTTGTATTTGTTTTTTCTTTATTGTTTTTTGTATGTATAAAAGTGGAATCGAGTGATATAGGAAGAACCTTGTACGCTCATGACTATGGAATGGAATTTAGTGTGTAGTTTTTTCTTTTTAGTTTCTCTATCCATGATGCTTGCTTTTATATTGATTTGGTTTTTTTTCTCACTGTAGTTTTTTGGATAGTCTTCTTATAGCTGAAGATTCTTCTTCTAGGGTGTCTCTTCTTCTAGGAGGTTTCTGCTTCTAGTCGCGGCTGGGGCGTCAGTGGTGACCTCCAAAGCTGTTTTGCACTGATTTAATTTGCCGGCCAGCTGCGGAAGCGTTTCTTCTCTTCGCTTTTTTGTTTTTTTGTTTCGTATTTTGTATTTATTGATTTCATTACTTTTTGGCCGAGGCTGAGCGTTTTTTAATGCCGGCAAGCCATGTGCAAAAGTCTAAAAAGAGATAGATGCGCCCACCTATCAATACAAGAGTGAAAGAGAGATAGAACGAGAACCACACCAAAGTCTTTGTTTAATTTAGCTTATCATACAAAATTCTGCTGATAACTTGAATCACTTTTTTTTTCGATGTTGTTTCAGTTTCTTTTATTGTTGGCTTTATTTTTATTTTGATTTGGCATTGAACATTGTACGCTGGTTTTTTCACCCTTCTCTTTCGGTGTATAAGTGAGAAGAGACTCGCGATTATATTTGTGTGCCTTTTGGCTTTTTTGATAATTTCGCGTGCAAATATCACGTATTCGACGGGTTGTACCGAACTTGGTCATTATATGGTCTCACACGTCCGTCTCGCAATTGAATGTGATAAAATTGATGTGCCATTTCTCAGTATTATTTTTATTGAGCTTATCTGGTTATTCTTTGTTCGCAAAAGTGTTTGATAAATATTATATGTTTGCATACTCCAAGGCGTGCTGTCGTTGTTTTTGAAACTCCGAAATAATAATGTCACTTTACATTTAAATTTGCCAAACCTCACCAATTCCTCTTTGAATTACCCAGGTTGAAATCAAGATGACGTTGATGTGCTAACAATTAAACAAGACCATTAAAAAGATATTTCATTAAGTGCCAAAAACAAGGATAACTAGTAATTTTATAAATCAAGAAATACAAGTATAAGCAAGTTTGAAAAATCGAAGCAAACGTTTTGATTTTTCATTTGAGTTCCGTGTGGGTTGTTGTTGAAGAAAATCATTCAAAGTGGATACCCTGGCGTTGCCTCTTGGAGGGCTATCTCATGTTAGAATGGCTCTAGCCAGGTAAGAAACACTATCCTTTTTTACATAAAAATTTAAATTTTATCTATTAAATTATATTTTTAAACTCTTTTTGTTTTTAACATGATTCATCAACTATTTACAGAATAAATCTCTGACAGTTTACAGCCATTTTCTTTAGATAAGATTATGTCACAGTGCGGTAATTTTATATTACTTTGTCTTATCACAAAATGAGATAAAATCTTTGGGTAATTTATCTTGTTGTATTTTTTAAATCAAAACTCAGGAAAAACAGTAAAAAGATTAAATATATTAACTAATATATTTTGCTGCCCCTGAACTGGACAGGAAATGTTATAGAAATCCCCAATTCCAATGTAAAATCAGTCATAAGATTTGATGATCTTTACGGATCAATTAGTAATGCCCACGCTAGTAATGAAAATTCAATGTCGTCGCAAATAGTGATTACCGTTAAGCTATGAAAAATACATCAACAATAACAAAAAGCAAGGCAAGTGCGCGAAATCGAGGAAACAATCAAACGAAATGTGCAACATTTGATGCGCTCGTGTGTGTGCATTGCATTAAAATTCAGGGGCAATGCCGTGCCTAGATGTAATTACCGTTATAGTCAAGTGCAAACCATATGGCAGATAAATATCACCTGACCCCTCGCTTTCGTAAAGTGTAATGAAATACGAGAAAAATATGGAAAAGTTTCATGCAAAATAAAGTAGAAACAGCATAAAATAAAGTAATATGATATGATGGTGTGATATATTAAAATAATATGTTATTTGGTATTAAAATATCAAAACCTTAGTTATAATTCAGCAAATTGAAAAAAATGTCATTTTCTTTTTTTCTGTGAGAAAAGTATAGTTTATCTCCAATAATTTATTTGAATAATATTAATGGCAATTTTTTAATGTGTAGAAATTGGCTTAATTGTAGTTTGTAACCTTTTGTGATAGACAAAAGAGTGTAAGGCAGAAATAAATAAATTACAAATTAAAGGAATGTGGGTGCCAGGGTGAGGGAGATGTAAGATTTTGACCCTTGTGGGCTTCACTTTCGCGGATTTCGAAATGTCTCTTACATTGGAAGTTCGATTTCCACTATTTATAGAGAGAAAGTAGACGACGATTTTGAGCGATCTTTCTCACAGAGAATGAATGAGAGAGAGAGCGAAATAGAGAAAGAGTGAAAGAAAAAACGTGAGAGCGAGCATGCAAGCCTCATTTGACCGAAGGTGAATCGTCTCGAGAGGGAGTGAGAGGGGGAGAGGAAGAAGGGCACACATGTGCACGATAGTAATCTCCCCCCACTTTGTTTATGTTTTGTTTTTGTAACGGTATATTTGACTTGGTGTAGTAGTAGTTTTTTTTAATTGTCTATGAGGAAGTGTGTGCAAGCATTTTGTACTTGTTTTGTATTTTTTTTCTATTTTGTACGAAGGTGTTTCCATTTGTAATTACAATTACATGCCTCTGCCTTCAAGTGTGTGTGTCTGAGTGTTTGTTTGTTGTAATCATGGGTTACAAAATCGTTTTGCTATTGTTGCTGCTGTTTCAATTTGTGCGATAAGGTCGTTTTGGTCTATGATTTTGCGTAATTACATTTGATAATATTTCAATGTGAAAACCTTTGCGGTAACAACATATGGGGGCAATTTTAGTTGGCTCTGTGTTTATTAAAAATGTGGAAGTACCAATTTTCATATTCATATTGCACTTCCTTGAGTTGGTTAGCTTTGAACACATTATAACATACATATCTAATATATCTTTTATAAATATCTTAAGTATAAAATCTATCTCTATAGAATATACATATATTTATATAAAAGAATTAGTACATTTTTAAAATAATGTAA